TGGCACATAAGTCATAAATGACATAACAGAACTGTTTAAATTTCCAAAATCGGATTTCGGCTCCTATATAAAAAAGTCAATCCCGTGGTCAAACTTGGAAATCTTTAGCGTTTAAATTGCTAGTTCAGTTATATGGTCATAACTTGAGCTACAGACCTCCAAATTAAATTTCGGGCATACGCCCAGGTCCCAAATCACGATACGGAGCTACCGGAACTGTCAAAATACTGATCCGGATTCGTTTGCTAAAACTGTTGACCAAAGTCAACTCACTTGAGTTTTAAAGCTCTATTTCATATTTTAATTCATTTTTCACATGCGAACTTTTTGAAATTATTTACGGATTGCGCACGTAAGTCGAGAAATAATAAATAATATTTTTTTGAGGTCTTAGAATACAGATTTACTTATTAAATTTAAATATGACATTTTGGGTCATCACAGTACTGAAAAATAACTAGCAATGATAACAACAAAATCAACCAGTGATATAACAACAAGGCAACAAGAACATCATAATTATTGCTTAGACGAATAAGAAACACAAGTACAACCAATTAATCAAGTTCTTCAAATATAAATGCTTCACCTATTATTCTTTAAGATAAATATCTTTTGAATATACTTCTTTTGAATAAATATCTTTCAAATAAATATATTTTCAAGTAAAAGTCACCATGTGACACCTCATTACCCAATCATAAAAATTACGGCTCTCAGCCCACTTTTTATATTTTTCACGGTACCTCGTGCCCATATTTCTATCACAAGCACACGGACAACTCACGTGTCAATAATAAAACCATCATATTTTCCTCGGCACCTCATGCCCGTATTTTTTCATAACCGCACGGACAACTCACGTACCAAAATATCAATATATATAAGATCCGCATGATCAATTTATTTTTAATAAAATAAGTTTACAATTTATAAACCAAGTAAGAAATCATCAAACAAATGAGTTTATTTTTTAACTCATTTGGATGAAGAAAATGACATTCCAATTAAAATGAAGCATCCGATGACTACTAATTTAGATGTAAAATTTATTAAATTAAAACATAATAGCAATTTATTTTATTCGAAACAACTCAAATCTCGAAAATCAGTAAAAATCATAAACACAAATTCTCAGAGTCTTGTACAGAGAGCCAAAGCCAACACAATACAACAAAGAATACAAAACACATAATAAAATTAAATAATACATCACGGAAGAACACAAGAATTTACATATCGCAGAAAAATAATATAACCAAAGGCAAGTGCAACCATAAAAAAATATCAACAAAGGGCACTCCCGAGGTACCGCCTCGTAGTCCCAAATCATAAATAATTTTCAACAACAACAATGGCCCAGGCTATCACAAGTCATTACAAATCAATCTCTGACATAACCCACCTTGTCTCGCCACGTGCGCAATAATAAAGTAAATGTCTGCCTTGTCTCGCCGCACACGCATAATAATATTCCCACCTTGTCTCGCCACATGCACAAACCCACATATATAGCCCGCTTTGTCACGCCGCATGTGCATATATCAATAGTAACAATAGCACGGAAGAAATCTCGTGCAAACACCGGTACAATCCTCCCAACAATATCATGTGCCAATATCACAACATCTCATAAATTACACTTCAAGTGCTCAAATATTACAAGATATCACAAATTGCACATCGAGTGCTCAAATATCAAAACATATCACAAATTGCACCTCAAGTGCTCAAATATTTTAACTTGCCACAAAAATCAACAATACATCATCTTCCGCAATAAGGAGCCCATGGCTCCACCATAATGTCCCACAAAAATCTTAACAAACATGTCTAGGAGCGAACAACTCAACAAAATAATATTTCACAATTTAACACTTTGCCTCAAATATTATTTACGGCCTTTATAACTCAATACCAATTGCAACAACATGAACTGGAAAGTAATTCATAAAGGAACAACGCCTTCTTTAATCCAATTTTTTGGCAAATAGATTAATGCCTCCTTTTAAACTTACATAATAAATTATTTGCAAATGAATAATCCATAGTGAAATTATCTCCATGAAATATCAACTCAACAAAAATACGGGATTCACATATAAATCAAAGTGGCAATCACACCAAATTATCATATAAAAATAAATTCAACAAACAATGATTTATGCATGACAAATAAATGATTTATTATGTTTCAATAATTTTCTAATTTAATACATAAGGGCGTCTACGAATTTCAACCAATATAATTTGCACATATAAACCAAATACGTACTCGTCACCTCGTGTACATGGTTTCAATTACACAATTTTCACATATGACTCAATGCCTAAGGGGTAATTCCCCCACTCAAGTTTAGGCAAGATACTTACCTTTTTTTGAAATTATGCCGATATTTCAAAATCGCCTTCTAGCTTGAATTGACCTCCAGACCACTCAAATCTATCCAAATTAATTGTATAACTTCATTAAAATTCATCGGAATAATTTCGGATAATAAAATGCCGACTTAAAAATTTATTCTAAAAATTTAACAAAAGTCAACGCGGGGCTCGCCTCTCGGAACCAGACATAATTTTCACGAAATCCGATCATCCATTCCGATACGAGTTCAAGCATACCAATTTTATCAAATTCCAACAACAAATCTTCCTCCAAATCTTGAATTTTTATTTTTGGAAGATTTTCAAAAATCTTGACTTCTTGCATTTAAATCCGAATTAAACGATGAATATAACCATAGATTCATAAAATATAATCACTTTAGGATATAGAACACTTACCCCAGTCGAAATCGTGCAGAAATCCTCAAAGTCGCCCAAAATTCGAGCTCCAAAAACCTCAATCGAAAATGAAGAAATGACAAATTTTCAATTCTTAAGTTTCTGCCGAGGTTCGCATTTGCGAATGAACAGTACCTCATATGAACAGTGTTCGCAATTGCGAATGAACAGTACCTCACCAGAACTTGTCCGAAATGATCCGAAACGACCCTGAAACTCATCCGGAACCTCCCGAACACAAACCATATATGAATTTTAATCATAAAACATGCTACGGACCTGCTCGCGCACTCAAAATACTGAAAAGAGGTCGTATTGACCCGATATTGACTATGGTCAAACTCCCAAATTTTTTAACTTTACTAGTCTCTCAACCAATGATCCAAAAATACACCCAAGCCTCCCGGGACCCGTCAAATCATACCAACAAGTCCTAAAACATCATACGAACTTAGTCGAAACTTCAATTTACATCAAACAATGCTAGAACCACGAATCACAAGCTTAATGAAACTAAGAAATTTCAACTTCTACATTCAATGTCAAAATCTATCAAATCACGTCCGATTGACCTCAAATTTTGCACATAAGTCATAAATGATATAACGGACCTATACAAATTTCAGAACTGGATTCCGACCCCTATATCAAAAAGTCAACTCCCCGGTCAAACTTTTCAAAAAATTAATTTTCGCCATTTCAAGCCAAATTTCACTACGGACTTTCAAATAATTTTCCGGACACGCTCCTAAGTCCAAAATTACCATACAGAGATATTGGAATTATCAAAACTTCATTCCGGGGTCGTTTGCTCAAAAGTCAACTCTCCGGTCAACTCTTCTATTTAAGCTTCTAAATAAGAATTGTTCTTTTAATTTAATTCTGAATCTTTCGAAAATCAAACTCGATCACACCCGCGGGTCATAATACATATTGCGAAACTTCTCGAGATCTTTAGTGGTTGAACGAGGCGTTAATTCTTAAAACGACAAGTCGGGCCGTTACAAGTATATTATGCTAGAACTTTAGTATATTATGATGGAGTTCTAGTATAGTTATACTGCAACTCCATCATAATATATTGGAGTTCCAGCTCTAGTATATTATACCGGAAGTTCACATGTAAAAAATTCGAACTCCAGTATATTATAGTGGAATATTTTCCGGATTTTGAACAGTGTTTTCGTTCAGATTTATTTTTACATGAAAAATGACTTAATTTTGATTACTTTTGAAAACTGTGACTATTTTTCAATTATCACTTGTAAATCTGGTTATTTTTGAATTTCACCTTAAACACAACAGCAACTATCGGAAAAGTCCATATTTAGCACCTTGAAGAGCAAATTTTGTGAGTGTAATGGTAAGCAAGTTAGCCCGACTATTTTTCCAAAAACATATTATTTCGAATTAGTCTAATGTGTACCGAAATTTGTCGTTTAAATTTCAACGTGAAATTATAAGACTTGAACTTAAAATTGCATAATTGCACTACTAAGGGATTTGGTTGGTCCTATGAAGAAATAGTGTTGAGCCAAAACTATTAAGTCAGAAATGGAAGCATCAGTTTGCTATTATTGGGTACTTAATTTGGTCCTATGAAATAGTGAATAAAGTTAAATGTCACAAAAAGAGAAAAAGAGGAAATTACACATATTATCATCATTACTATCATCACTAACTTCAACTCAAACCCCACGCTTAAATTCCAAACAATTCCCTCTTTCACTTTCTTGTCTTCTCCTTTTCCCACTTCTTCTCCCCCTTTTGTACCTTCTTTTTTATTTTTCTTGCTCAACTAAAAAAAAAAAAAAAGTAAAAAAAAGAAAAAGGTACAAAAAATAAAATAGGATAAAGATTGTACAACTCAATATTNCAACTAAAAAAAAAAAAAAAAAAAAAAAAAGAAAAAGGTACAAAAAATAAAATAGGATAAAGATTGTACAACTCAATATTGATAAATTTTTATACATTGACAATATAAAAAAAAAATTCATATGATCGAATCAACTAAATAATAATTACATGTAAGCGCCGTAAAAATGAGATAACATCCTAAAAAATGAGATATGTTTGTTTTATATTACAACATGTTAAGATATACCGGTATCATAAAAGTTTTTTACTTTTTCTGTCTACATAAATTTAATCATATTGGTATATATACACAAAATCATCTGCTTTACAAAAAGGTAATCATGGTTTCTTGTTTTTGACATGGCCTTACTCTTTCCTCCTCCCTTGCAAAGGAAACTAAGAGCAGAATATGATACAATAGAAGATGAAAAAGAAAGTTGGAAACTTTAGAGCAATGAATACAAGAATTCTCAGCAGTCTTTTATTTTTTCAACTCAGTTCTCTTTGTATCTGTTCAGGTGAATGAACCTTGTCTCTTTCATTTGCACAAGTTTCTTTTACAAAAGGGTATCTTATTCTCTGTTATATTTTTCCATTATTCCTCTGCTTTGTAATTTAGATTCACAAGAATTTGCATGTTAAGTTGAAGGCCAAACATAGGAAGTAGTAGTTGCAGCTCTTTTCTTTAACAGAATATGCTACTTCAACTCTGTTAAACAAAACAGCTATAATGCTCGGACTCTTCGAAAATATCGTCGGGTGCGTGTCGGATCCTCCAAAAATAGTGTATTTTTGAAGGATCCGACATGATTGCGGCAGTATTTTGGAGAATCCTTACAACGTAGTTAAATAGAACCATTCTAGATTTCTTTTCACATTTTACACATAATTAGACATTCAAGCCACTAGCTCTTTTGAGTTATGTTGCACGGACTCGCCAAAAATGATGTCGCACTCGTGTCGGATCCTCCAAAAAATGCACTACTTTTCGATGATTCAAAGCCGAGCAACAATAGCTTTTTTTTTTGTGGGCGTGGGGTGGGGTTGTACAACTACATTTCTTGTAGAGATAACTATTGTCCAGTAACTTATATTACCTAAAGTTTAGAAAGTAGTCATAATTACATAAAAACAGAAATGTCATCTCATAGATTACAATAGTCTGTCCCCAAATATAAACTTTTAATGCATATTTAAAAGTTCCTTTGCTCCTTACAGGTTCAAATGCAACACCAAAAGAATTCATAGAGCAGAAGAAAATGTTATACCAAGTAGAGGAGAAATTTGAGAAATCTAACACAATTTCTAGTAGCCAAAAAGATATAACAACCCCTATAACAACAGTTCCAACAGGAAATCCTACCACATCCACTCCTGTCCTGAATCCAACAATCTCAAATCCTGATTCGACTCCCACTGGCCCGACTAATTCAGTAATGACACCAGCGATAACCAATTCTCCGGTGCCTTCAGGCGCGAGTTGGTGTATTGCTAGCCGAGCAGCTTCGCAAATTGCTCTGCAGGTTAGTGGCGGATACAAAATTTAAGCTATATGGGTTCAACCTTTAAGGCTATTAGCATTGAACTCATTGTGTTTTTAAGCTATGGGTTCAGACCTATAATTTATTGCAATTTGAGTAGATTTTTACATATAAATCTATGCTTCGCGTCAAAAGTACTGGGTCAGATGAACCCGGTGGTCCAATGCTACATCCGCCCCTGGGCGGATCTAGACTAGACGCAACAAGTTCAAAAGAACATACTGTATCTAGCTCGGACTTTATAATCGATTGACTTTAAATCCTGGATTCGCTGTAACTGCAGGTTGCTTTAGACTATGCTTGTGGCTATGGTGGTGCTGATTGCTCAGAAATTCAGTCTGGTGGCAGCTGCTACAAACCAAACACTCTCCGAGATCACGCTTCGTATGCATTCAACAACTACTACCAGAAAAATCCAATTCCAAATAGCTGCAATTTTGATGGCACTGCTATTACTACCAACACTGACCCCAGTAAGCTAGTTACATTTGTTATTAGTTAATTACTATGTCCAGTGGCGGAGTCATGATTTTAAGGGGAGTCAAAATATAAAAAATTAAACTCACCAAGAGTCAATGGGTGTCATTATATAGTATATATATACATATTTTTTTTAAAAATTACCGAGCTAAACAGTGTAATTTTTCAACGACCTTGGAAGCATGTGGCTCCACCACTCACTATGTCGTTATGACGTGTTAGTTATTGAAATACGTCACCATCTCATTTAAAAGTTTAAACTATTAAAGAGAACAGTCTTTTAATTACTTCAATTATATTATGTCTGTCAACATTATTAAGTTCTTACTTTGTATGCAGGTAGTGGTTCATGTCAATATCCATCAACAAGGTAACTTAATTGTTATACTTCTTTTCTTTAACAGAGAAATTCTGACAAAGCTTGGGAATTTTTACAGCACAAATGCATCTATTTTGAACATAAGTAATGCAAGTGGAGTATTTGGCGCCGGACCAATTACACCATCTACCTCATCAGCTGCCGCGACAAGTTGCTCTTTAAATTATCATTTCTACATCTTAGCTTACCTTGTGATACTGCTAGCCTTAATACTGAAGCTAATTTCATAATATTGGTTTAGTTGCTTTTATTTTTTCTTTTCAAAAAGGGTCAAAACAATGTCTCAAAGGCAAGAATTGGAAAGTTTAAATGAAAGGGCAAAACTCAAAAGGAAGAAAACAGATTCAGTCAAAGTCCAGGCAAGAATACAAGAAAGTATGTCAAAGAAGACATGAAACTGTCTCTTTTCCATTTTTACATTAATATCATTCCGAAAGCTATAAGAACAACTAGTATTCCTAAAATAAAGACAAGATAACAGTTTTTGCTTGTGTTATATACCATTACATACATACTACAGATCTGTCCAAGAAATGACACAATTAGTCTGTGCCTACACAAGGCTTGCAAAAAGTCACATATATATGCACAGAGCATGCGATGGTTAGAAAAGAATCCGATCATTATATCAATACTTATATTTAAAGGTTCCATTAATTAGGACTAGACCAATTCTAATATTAGCAATGTATTCTGGAAAAGAAAAGGTTCCTAGCTACTCTAAACTTTCTCCAAGATAAAATGTTTGGAAAAGAATAAATCAGTCAACTACATCTTACTCCTAAACTAGAAAGTGTGTGATTCATCCTATTGCGATCATCACGCCAAACATAAATTCTTAATATCCGTTGCGCAACATTGTATTCCCCTGAAAGGATGAGTAACTATAAAATTGGCAGTAGGAGCACAAGCGCCCAATGTTGATGATCCACCATTGTACAGAAAGAATGGATCATCCAACAATTCTTCTGCGGACGGCCTAACAGACATGGGAAGTGAACACTTCTCAATGATATCCTTCACTCTCGAGTCTTTAACCTTTCCAAGAGATGCAGGTTTTTCACCAGTGATATACACTTTCCTAAGTATTTGCCCTTGATTGTTGCATTCCCTATATGGATATTCACCAGTAACCATCTCAAGAAGACACATCCCGAATGCATATATATCCACCAGTTCATTGTATTCCTCATCGTAGCACTCAGGAGCCATGAATTGAGGCGTTCCCTTAACCTCTTTGGCGAAATCACCCTCCATAAGACGAATCGCCAACCCAAAATCTCCAAGCTTAACCTGTTTCCCACCACTCTGAACAAAAATATTATCACACTTGATATCTCTATGAATGATCTTCGGGTTCTGTCCATGAAGAAAGCTCAAACCTTCAAGAATCTGCCTACCCCAGTTCTTGATATTCCCCAAATCAACACCACTCCCATTATTACTTTTCAACATATACTTTGTCAAACTGCCTGAAGGGAATAATTCTGTGATCATGTTTAGGGTTTTTGCCTCGGAATCGAACCAGTAAGAGAAACACTTCATAACCCTTTCATGGTTTAAAGATTGCAAAAGAACAGCCTCAGAAAACAACTTTTCTGGGGTTTTTAATAATGCTTCACCATCTTCTCCATGAAAACTAATTTGGTTCCATGCAATTTCAATGTTTTGAACTTGATCAAAACCTAGGTACACTTCTTTATAAGCCCCTCCACCTAACACGTCACTATATCTAACGAACCTATCACATGGAGATTTCTCTTCAAATCTGTGTAACACATAATCCATCGTAGCTTAAATTCGGATTTGAAGAAAACAAAGAGATTGAAAAACCAGAGTGTGACGTGGAAAAAAAGATCAAAGCGGGTGTTCAGAGAATGCTTCGATTGCAGCTGAGAAAGAATCCATAACTAACGACAAATTTGGCTGAAAACGCATGATGTTTGATAGCTTAAGATGAGATGATCTCAACCTTTTCATCTCATGAATTTATGCATTAAACAGAATGAAAACAAAATTAGGAGCCGATGACAAAACGATTAATGTAGGTAAAATATAGTGAAGGAAGGGCATAATATTTCTTTTTCGTCCGAACTTAGTAGTTATATAGTAGAATAGAAATTCCCTAATTAGTGAAAAGTTAGGATTTCACATAATTAGAAGCTTCTGCCTTCACGGTAAAGATTTCCCAATTCAGTTTGGATTAATCTTCCCTCTCGTTTTACAATTATTTTCCTCATTTGACTTGGATTGAAAGATAGAAGAGATTTGAACTTCGAATTTTTTCTAGTTTCTTTATAGAGACAATAATAAGTAGGTTCATTTAGTTAATACTTAGTAAACTGTAAAATCAAAATATGGTTATTTCCACACCCAAAAAAACGCATTGTTTTATTTAGTCACAAAGAGAAATTTTAATTACGACATTACTTCGAAAACTAAATTATTGTTAAATAAGGTAGAATAATTCTAATTGGATGGGTTATTAAATCTATCTATATCTATCTATCTATATTTCTATATCTATATCTATCTATCTATATTATTATAAAAGCACGAATGTTAGAACACTAAATATTGAACGACGAAAATATCCTCAAAATATTACTCGATTTTTATACCCTTTGAAAGCTAAATTAATTTAAAAAGGAATCACCCTTAAAGGATGAAAACGTAATATTAGTGATCGTGTAATACTAATTGCACTTGGACAATAACTTCGAATAAAGAATCCGCATGTCCTAATTCTGATTTATTAGAAGAAAAAGCACAAGAAGAGATAAAAACCTAATCAGTCAAAATTATGTCCCACAAAGCAGTTGAAGTGGCATAAACTTAAATGAACATACACCAAGATACTGTTCACAAAGAAATAGGCAAGATATGACAAAGACACAAAGTTGCACATCTTTGTGCTACAAAAAAAAAATACTATCTAATTTAACTAAATCGATCATCTTTGTGAATTCAACCGGTGTGGAATCATTTTAAATTCAAGTACTATATACTGCAATAATATTGATTTTTAGTATTTAAATTGTTGAACTTTATCCATGTAAATTACATTACAATGTAATATATTTAACTTATTGCTCATATAAATGTTTGATTGTAGATTTACGTGCAACGCACGTATACAGAGACTAGTACTATATTAAAGCACGAAAGCCCTTAGCAAAATGTGATTCGTTTTTTTTACCATTTTAAAATATAATTCACACTAGACAAAATAGTCATTTAATTATTTTCTTAATATTTAGCATTTTGTAGTCAACTAAAACTTTACTTATTAAAGTTTTCCTTATTTGAACGAGACTACACATAGAATTCTAATATTTAGGACATCAAAATCAATTATATTTATCATATACAATATTATATTATTATACTAAAAATATAAATGTTTACGTGTCATATTTCCTAAAAGGATGTGCATATAATGTAATGGAAGGAAACGGCCAAAATTATAATAGATAGCCTAACCGTAATTTGAAAACTAACAAAGGCAGCAAAATTTTTATATTAAAATAAATAAA